CTTTATTTAGTGGACTTTTTAGATACTATGTTTGTACTTTATGTAATTTTTAGGATTCTCTATTTTAGTGCTACATCTAAAAATATTTTTGTTGAAAATCCAGTGTCATGCTTACAGTAAGCGTTTAACTCAGTTTAAAGTCTATTCTCATGTTTTTTATTGTCAAAAACGCACTTTTACCAAAAGCAAATGCAAAGCTCCATGTAAAACAGAATCTATAATAGGCTTAGAGAAAACACATGTCCATCATTTCAAAGCTGACACAAATCCTAGCCCCTGCATATTCAAGTTCCATGTTAATTCTTTACTGAAGAACCAAGTTCTGTTTAAAAAGAGACAAGCCTTTAGTGAATTACACAAGAAAACTTTAATCCAATAAAACTATAGGCCAAGAGAATAAATCAACCAATCAAATTAAGTAGATTGATTTTAATTCTCGGAGCATGTATCAACAAAAGACTCATTTGTAGCCGAATTTACGGCGGTGGTTGATTAAAAATCTTTCAGAATAACAAAAATGGTTTTGTAACTTTGATCTATTTAAGCGAACTCTGGGGGTAACTCAGATGCTGCCATCAATTTACTAAAACCACCAAAAATGGCCCGAAAACTTATTTTTACCTCAGAAAGTGTAAATTCGTCCCAAGTGTCAGAGCCAAGACACAATATAGCGAAAGGAAACTTATACTTTTTGGTTATTAGGTTTGTTTCTTGAGGAAAAGTAGACAATTCCCTTTGTCGAATGGCTGGAAATTTCGAGCAATTTATGCAATACAGGTCACTGCCTCGATTGACAAATGGATGTGTATCAGTTCATCATTACAGTGCTCTATATTGTATTCTCTACCACCTTTCTGGTATCTTAAACCCCCTTTTTATGTCAGATGAATCTGATATTTTTGATAGGAGCTTGGATTCCCAACCTACATGCGCTTCTAGTCAGATGGCCATTGCGGTTGAGAAGACAAAGTAATAGCTAGCACTACTAAAAAGGTTATAAAAAAACTTGCTTGCATTTACCCAACGGAGAATGGCGTGGCAAAAGCGACTAGGCAGATAGCCACCACCTGTATTAAGGATGGGCTTCGAAGACTGTCAGCTTCTTTTGTTTGCGAAAAGACGCCATGCATTTCTGATACTTTTGCTTTTGACTAGCTTCGGCATTTTGATTATCTTCCCACATTCCTAAGGCACAATTTGTAACCTAAAATATACTACCTGGGCTGGAGATGCGCATCAGTGGAAAGAAGCAAAATACAATACCTTGTACTACAAAATTTACCTGTGAGAAGATTTGCACTTTTTAATTGAGAACCAATAATAACTTCTTAGTTTTATGTCTTCCTCTGCTCTTTATCTCAACAGTTTTAACCTTTTCTTAGCATTACTTGACCACATGCCAAATAAACAGCTAATAAAATGTGGTGGAATCGAAATAGGGGCCTCTGTAGCCGGATATTTGTTTCTGAGAAACAACGTTCTCAGAAAAGTAGCATTTTTAGCAAAGCTTTCCTCTCAAAAAGGAGTAGCTGATCAAATTTGATAGCAAAAAAAGGGAAATTTATCAATGGAATTAAGTGGACAAGTTTTCAGCTGACTTGTTTGTTTATTTCTGTTTATCTATTTGTTCTAATACCTTCCATTTGTGCAAATACAAGCTTATTTCCTGGTTAGGGAGCGGGCCGTTTCCTGCTAAAACCACATCCCTTGCGTCTATCCATTACCACGGGGATAAGTGGGTAAATGGATGGGCGTGCAGGAAACGCCTGCTGAGTTGTTGACGTTATTGATGATGCTGCCTTTGCTACTGCTGCTACCGCTGCTTGCCTGTCACCGGAAACGTGGATAATTAATACCCTGGCTGCTTCAAAGGCTGATTTGTGCTCTCGAACAAATCATACCCTTTTGCGCGCCACCTCTCTGTCCTCTTCCTCCTCACTTTGATGTGGCTGGCAGAGCGATTTAGACAAGAGATATAAAGTTATTTGACACCAAAATTTTAAATTTATTCAACATTTTTGCGGACTTACTGTAAACCGCATATGACTTGTCAAAAGTTATCGATTTTATAAGGAAGGTTTCACGTGAGTTGCAATCAAAGTGCATCACACTAACGCGAGACAATCTTTCCATTCTGTGAAGCAGCTAAGTGACATCTATTTAAATCAACAAAATTTGTAACCTTACATATGCTTTCATGAATTATTAAGGGTGGTTTTATGCTTCTATTCACAAATATCTAGACAATATGTGTTTACTTGAATGGACTTCTTGATGACAAGCGTTCCCATTACACCCTCCTCTTGGCTAGGCAGACATTACCGACTCCCAACGCGGAGACAACAATAATCCCCATACTACATGATATGAGTCTTCTTCTCCTTGGCACTATTTTAGGTCCAGGGGTGTAAACCCGGGGGTAGAAGAGAGAAACAACAAATACGTATACATACACAAATCCTTATTGCATCGGTTTGGCGTTCGTACTACTGTGATTGTAAGTTTATAAGCTTTCTAGTCACTGAAGATGTCGATTCCAACTGGATAAAAGAGGTAAGCAAACCCCATCTGCGAGTAATCCTAATTACCCATATCTGGGCGTTATGGAAGAAGGGCGTTTACTGCTAGTAGATGAATTTGTAAAAAGTCATAATGAAAGAACTATGAGTTTTTATAATAATTGTTGATAGCGCAAAACGCAATTTGGCAAGGTGCACTTGGCGGTGAAGAAACTTTTATCGTATTCTATTCCGTCGTATGCTGCTATGAAATGCGATCGACAAGGGAATTTGATGGCTGAAAATCATTGTCCAGTCTCATCACTACCCTCTAAATGGACTGTTCCACGATCCAATTTATCTCACTGAAAATGCCGACCAGAACTGCAGGCTGCACTGCATTAATAAATGGTACCTTTATATTTAATAACACACCCGCCAGCCTTTGCAATGTTTTTACGCTTTAAAGGTCCTTCTGCCCAACTCTATTTGTAGTTAACACGCTCTCGAGATGGTCGGGGCATAAAGGTGCCCAAACAGAGTCGATGATGATCCCTAAAGATCGATGAACTGTATAATCATATCTATAAGGCTTATTTAACCACTTAAAGTCTTTAATCTCCGTTGACTGACCTTCCCTTCGTCGGTGGTCATAGCCTTAAAAACATACCGTACCCAGTGAAAAACCCCTTTTTAACAAGGAACTGCCTTAGATAGTTTACTGTCCTAAAATGGGTCATCTAAATGCAAATTTTAAGCTATTTTAATTAGATTTAGTGACTTCCTTCTCTATTATAATAGTTTAAAAGCGATAGAGTAGTATATTTGACTCATTAATTCAGTAGGAGTTTGATAATAAGAAAAACTATTTTTAGTTTAAAGAACTTATCCATTTTTAGGCCCTGAGAACATGCTTTTCGTTACATTTTAAAAGGGTTCAGTATAGCCCCTATCTCTTGGCAACAACAGATCTGGGGAAATGGCAGAATCCGCAACCTACAAACAGTCTAGGATATTTTTGCTAGTTTTCCAACCAAATCCTACTTTAAGCGAATACTCTCACGACCGATACTCTAGGCTCAAAAGCTAATCCGCTTAATGAATTTTATCCGCAACTCATTGCTCTTAGTCCAGAATTTCGTGTTTTCTGGTAAGGGCTTGTCAGTGTGCTTTGATCAGTCAGCCATGTGAGCTGTGTGGGAGACGCGACTGCGCGGCGCTTTTCGTAAACAAAAACTAACTCTCAACGTGAGCATAAATAAAAATGAGTGGCCCTTTATTCACTGCCGCTAGCATACTGATTAAATCAGCGGGTGGAATTTCAAAAGCCCTCATGTCACTGAACTCGCATGGCAAATGGATTTGAGTGGATACTGTAATCGTTACTTTTCCCTATATAAGTAGAATTTTATAAATTGCTGCAAAGAAACTAACTGATTAGCAATAGGGTAAATTCAAGCTCTACATCAGCTTCGTATTAAAATAATCCTAAAATAAGGCTGATGAATGTATGACTTGCATTTAGAAGTTAAGTTTTGAAAATGGGCTCAGACTGAATGACAAGAAGCGCTTTATATTAGGGAGCGACTTATACTATGAGAATCACAAGATTAAGAAAATCTACTGAAGATTATTGTCTAGCATTAAACAAATGAGTCTTTACGATGCCTAGCCATTGTCGGACTCAATACTTCTTCCACGGTTCTTTAAACTTGAGCACTATCAATGCAGCCGATACAGGATTGTCGAGGAAAGACTTTAAGGCATGACGAGGAGTATGCTGCACATGTAGACCCATTACGGGTTGTCAGTGAGTCTGAGGCATCCTGAGGTACCCTGGGCGCTAAGCGTGCGCCAACTCACTTTTGTGAAACTTCTCCATGGATTATATACTGATCATCCAGGGTCAGGTGCTCTGGGAGTCGAATATACACAGAAACTACTATCGTACTACCAGATGATTATCACTGTTAGGAGTGCTACTGACGTCTCAAAAGTGTCTACACCATTCTACTAACTGGCTGTGCATGCTATCACACGACTTTGCTTAGTCATCCATACACGAGCTAACGTTTGTTGATTTAAAGCATTACTTTCGGGGATACTTCATTACTAACCGCTGTTGCGTGTGACTACTGCCACTGATGGGCTCTACCTTGCTAAGAGGAATATGGACTCATGCATGAAAAGCGGGCTAGCTGTTAACGACACACGTCGCTTACTAGTGTCTGCGATGTCACCCTTGCAAAACCTTAACTTAAAAAACCCTAACTTGATGCGGCATCCTTTTGCAATTTTTCTCGAATACAATTAGATTTACACACATTTTTGGTAAATAAGGCTTCACTAGATTACTTGTCCCTCAGTCTTACTTCAATATTACAAAAAACTTCTCCCTGGACTGTACCATAAAATGCACAATCAAAAAGCAGTTATGCCAATAATTTTGCTCTAGCAAAATAAAAAAATTGGTGAGAAAAATAATCACAGTCCTCTTCTATTCTACGCATCAACTTCAAAAGCGGCATTTCGTTGGACAAAATCTTCGCGCACTACGGGGTCCCCTCCATTCTGGGCATCTTTGTCTCGCTGTCGAAGTGCACGATAGGTCGTCTCCACCAATGCAATGTCGGGATCTGTTGGTAGAGTGATGGGAGAGAAAGCAGTGACACCTGAACGTCTGTGGACCTTTGAAAGGCTCCCCACCTGATCCGAAACTTTTGAAGCACCAAAAAGACCCCAAAAGAATGGAAGACATCGTCTCAAATCACTGGAGTCGAAGGTAGAGGAGGAGAAAGAAGGTGCCTTGAAGGAGGATATTAATTGTATGAAATTACATTAGGTCGTTAGACGACAAATTCATTACTAGTCACATAATGCATTTCAAATACGATGGAGTGATGAATGCTTAAAATTTTGTTTATCTAGGTGAACCTTCAATTACTGCGCAATTGATCTGCCCATGCCACTGGTCAGCCAGCTTTTACTTTCACTTATGAAACTAACTTCACTTTGTGTAAGTTTGCTGTTAACTAAATGACAGTCATTCGTCCTCCGTGGAGCGGCCACTAAAAACGGTGAGCCCACATCAAATGATGGATGATGCAACTCAACTCGACTTACAATTAGACATATGACAATGACAAAGATAATGTCATTACTTCAACTATTATTTGGACTGAAAGAAATTTCGAACTTTCTAGTCAGGAAAAATGATTTCATAAGTACACAAAAATAAACGTTTTACATGGAGTTTCATACTTTGTGCTGCTTTTGCTAACATCCACACGTAATTGAAAATCCAGTTGCGTCTAGTCTCCCTATAATACCCACCTCCTCAATTGTTACCTTTCATCTCAAAAGGCATGTTGATCACCTCTTTCTTTTAGGGACAAGATTACTTATAAGTTAGTTTAAACTCGGTTTCTCAGCAATAATTCAAAAAGCAGTAAAGTTCTTTTGAAGTCTACGGAATTTTCCAAAGGGAATGGGAGAGAATCTACGTCATTCATTCACAGGCTCATCTTTTTTCCGCTCTCTGTCGGTTACTTGTTAAGGGAGGTACAAACGCGAGTGCCCGTCATACGCCGTCCTCGTCTGACTCTTGGGTGGTAGAGTGAAAAATGACATTTCTGGAAGGGCCGATCGCTTTTGGTGTTTTCCTTGATGCAACCAACTACCTTTATGTTGAGGGGTAGATTAAAAAGGAGATAGGAACGAAAAGGGGACATTGATAAATGGGAACACGTTTCCGTTATTCAGGCATTATGAATTGAAGTCATGAAAATTGCGTCGAAGTAAATTATTGCTTTTTTTCGTTAAAAGAACCTGCGTTTCAACTTGCAAAACTGCTATTTCAAATATTTTCCTCTAAACAAGGAACCTAACTTATTTCCAAAATAAAATTGTTCTAGAACAATCAAAAATAGGCATTTCTAAACATTATAAAATTTTGGTTCTAAAGTTTTTTTGGGGAATTGAATGCCGCATATGTTGTAAGATTCACTTTTTCAAGGAAAAATCGATCAAAGGTCGATACATCAGCTGATCAGCTGCGTGGTATACGGGAGCAATTTTCAAACTGTCAAATCGATAAAATTACTAACGCATAAGGCCAAAAATCGATTGAACAGCTGAGCAGAAATTTTAAAGCAGTTGGCTAGCAGCCGATAGACTGAAGCGGTTTTTATACCCAATTAGAAACATTTTAGCCCAACAAAGAGGTCTTGAATGAAATTCCACTTTATACCTCAATGGGTCTTAGCACTGCAAATAAAAATTTAGATCCACCGATTAAGGAGATGAATTTTTGCACTTTGACCCTTTTAACATTGGTTAGGTCGAATAACCGGTCACTAAGCCAAATCAGAGCTAAAGGAGACAATACTATGGTGCTAAGGTTAGACCTAAGTGGAGAGAAAGATGCAAAATAGGTTCCAAGTCTTTCATACCCTATTGGTTTGTGCACTTATTTAATTAGCCTTACGTTTTGGCAAAAGAGTCCTTTGTAGAGCAACTACTCATCCGTTACAGACGGATCTAAATACAGTTAAGCTTTTGAAAGTTCTTAATTTTAACAATTTGAAGTTGGCTTTAAAAAGCATACTATGTGCCTTTAAGCGCAACTATTTTACTGGGCCTCAGAACATGATAACTCTTCCACATTTTTACTTTAAAGAAATGCTACTGCGAAAGCGGATCGACATACTGGATTTGCTTGAATTCAGGTATCTCCTATTCTTTAAAAGTATCTATCAAATGGATTCTTCATCATCACAGCTAGCCTTGCCGAGGACGTGACGTTTAGGCAACTCAATCAATTCTACAGGATGCATTGTCATTGATGAGCATCATCTCACCTATGACGCAAATTTAGCACACCATCTTTGAGCATGAGCCACAGTTGATAGCACCTTGCACATTCTTGAGGGCTGAAGCAAACTAATGACTATGAACAGCACTGGGCTTATTTGGTATTTGTTTCATTGATATTTAAGTGCGTTATCTCTTCAAGTTTCGTGGTCTTGGCTGTTATTTTGCTAGCTCGTAATCCCTCAGCTCTTCTGCATGGTTGCAACAAGAATTAAACGGTGGGCGAAGCTTGTTCTATTCTTTTTATGTTGTTGATCACATAATAAGATATAATTTATCCAAATATATACTTAATTAAGTAGACCCATATCCCCTATCTTGATGGCATGCACTTCAGTACGCTAATACAGAACCAGTGGTGACCTATTACGGCCCCAGGAAGGAGTCAAAGCAGTACAATGAGGTGGGCAGTCTTTAAGCATTGGAACGGAAGACAAAGGTAGTCTGAATCCCTTACGGTATAGAGAGCTCGCATTCGAGGCAGGACAATGGATCCAATCGCACTACCAACTGCAACAAGGGCAAAGGTGAGGATGGCGAGGAGAACGGAGCGATCTTGCAGTAAGATCTGCCCCACATAGGGTGCAGTGAGGATGCCCAGACGGTAGGCTGCTGCACATAGACCGGTGGCAAGGCTGCGAACCCGCGCTTGAAAGATGTTGCTCGCGTAGATGCCCATCAAACCGCTACCAGCCGCAGCTACACCGCGGGTAACGAAGAAGACTACATTTGAGGCTGTTGGTGTCATGCAGAAGGTCTAGAGGAAGTCGAATCCCGAAGAATAAATAAGCCGGTTAAAGCAGATTAGGTATTAATGTGCACTAAATTCAAAACGTAGGTTTCATAATGGGTTAAAAACCGCTAAGTATCCATATTTGGTTGTTTTTGGTCGATGGTTTTATAACCTGTCCGTTTATAAAACCCATCACTTTAAACAGATGCATAGATAATAAGTAAATTTATTTGGGTTATTAAATTCCAAATACGGAAGATGTAGTAGTCAGAAATGCTGATAGCTCCTGTACTTTTAACAACACAGATTCTCCAGTTCCTTAAATGCTTTTGCTCCTCCAAGGCCATTCTGCATGATTTCAGGCAGGACTATGTGAACCGCAATTCGACACTTTTCATGGAGTATAAGCTAATCCTACTAGTGTTTTTAAGTAAAAGCAGCTTCCAGAGACTAGATGACCGTCTCGACTAGGCATTACGTTTTTTCGGCTGCAAAATGCATCGCCATTCGGCATTGTAAGACGCGAAATAACTGCATTTCTGTGTCAGTTTGAAGAGGCTGGAATTGCAGTCAGTTGTAAGCATAAGGGATAAAACCTGTGCTATATTATAAATTATGGCTAAACCGCCATTCATTAGTATAAAATAAAAATCGATTCACTTGCCATACTATAACAACATAAAGCAAGCAGTGGTTCCCGGTTTCAACTGATAATAGTTGAAATACTATTAGTAGCATATCCAGGAGCCAAATTTCCAAATCAAAATGAATGCTACAGAATGCCAAGAGAATCGGTTACCCTGCGAGCTTAAGATATACGAAATGCTAGTTGGTAGTAAGTGGAAAGGCTAATCGCCTAAGGCTCCGGTAAATCATCGGTCCTAGCGTAAGTTATTCTTTAAAAACTGTTCTAAATGCCCTGGGATCTCTACAGAATGCAGAGGGAATGGTGGACTGCTTGAGGTGAAAATCACTAAAAGGTTAATTTGAGTAATTATGTGCACATTCCAAAGCACTACACATACTTGAACAAAGAGTAGAATGCCCGTGAACAAAAAAGTGATAAATTGGGCGATTGGAAGCCTTTGTCTTAGCAACGCGGCCAAACCGTAGGCCAACGGGAGACTAAACAGACCACCTGACGCCGAGATGAGTAGCGACTGATAGCCCTCTTCACGTAGGGGCTTGCAACATTCAAAGGGGGCCCCTTCTGACGGCTGATAGGTTGGTAGCAAGCTTGTCGTGTTGGTTATCCGGAGATTCTATAGAGTAAATGCAAAATATCTCCTTCATTACCTATACTACTTATAACCTCTTCAGCCAATAAACACTTCTAGCTGTTAGAATGTCACTTGTGTATGCTTTAAATTGACGTCCAGTTATACATCACACCAACACAGTTCATTTGAATTAACCAATAAAAACGAAATAATGTTATTTTTTTTAAATTTCACTAGAGTACTTGTCAACTATGGAATGAAATCGTTTTTGACATCCCAACCCCAGCCTCTTGACGAGTTTCTGTAATTCCATCAAATTTGAAGTACCATTAAATCATATTTCTGCTACCTAAGTACAGACATTTCCCTGTACAATTGCTTAAAGGAAAGCATTTTCCCAGAAAATACCCTGAAGGAGTGCGTACATTTGGGCAATTCCAGAGACAATAATGTAGGCTGGTAGTAAGTCTGAATAACTGACTGCGTTAATTCACGTAGGCATTCCACTTTTAAAGATACTAGGGAGAGAGATACGATTTCTCTTTTTTTTAAACATCAACTATTTGCTATTTCGCTTACCTTTTCCTCAACACTGGTTAGTGAGGAGTGAGTCTTCGAGTTGTTCCAAGATGCCGTATCTTTAATTTGCTTTTCAGATCTGCTTACGTCCAGCCTTCCCGTTTTTAAGTAGGCATCAGTTCAAGACCCGTTGAGGCAGTAGAATTCCATCATGTCGTAGCCATAAAGGCTGGTACTTTCTAATCAGATTTAATATTTGCTTCGATGCTAGAAATGACCACTTTATAGATTGCAGAATTAATGCAACTATGAATTTTGTCTAATGAATGGCCAAAATTCTCTCTAAATTTAAGATTTGGGCAGCTTTTGAATTACTCAACCCAGCAGCGACTATGCATTTGCATATGCGTTGGATTTATCTTAGCAACAGGTCCAACTGCCTCCCCGTAGCGTAACTTCTCAAACAAAATCCATTGTTAGCTTAAGCCATTAGTTTGCAGGTAAGACGGCTCTGATGCCGTACCAATGCAATAAATAGGCGTTCTGACCGCTGTGCTGGCACGCACAAATCAATCATTTGAACGGCAAACATTAGGTGACGACAAGACGGCCAGGTCACAAGATGACATGAAAGGTAGTGGAATTGAACTACCCCCCGGCCATCTACAGGTTTTTCAAATGTAGGCTACTAACTGGAATAGTGAATCGCCAGATTGACTTCGCAAACAAGGGACCCATCACACTTTCTTCCAATAAAAGGGCGATAGTATTATAAACCTGCCATTTAAAATTAATCTCTTAGTGAGCAAAGTCAAAAGAGCAATGAAAATTTGTCATTTATTACTAATTTTTGCCGCTTAAGGTAGTTAAATGCCAACAGTTTTCTGGGAATGATTGAAAGCGTGGAGTGAGTAGTGATTGGATGTTGTGGAGGTAACCAATGGTATGTCCATTCGCCCAAAATAAGTTAAAAATATAAAAGCCAATCAGTTTTACAGCACACGTGAAAGATATGGGGAACAAACTGATAGTCTTTGTGGCCTGCCAAAACCTCAGTGGATGTAAGTAGAAGCAAAGTTTTCCAGTGATCAAGCTGAAGATGAAGGAAACCTATTGACTCGTCAATTCCGTCTTGACGTGTCAATCGTGAAAATAAGGCAGCTGCCTTTAGATGAAAAGAAAGTAAAACACTTCTGCGTAACGCTTTCTGCTATTAATGCCGTACCAGAAGTTTTTGCAACTTTGAGGCCGAGTTAAAACACGATTCACCGATAAAAGTGTAGAAGACTAAAGATATGCGTAGAAAACCGTGAAAACTATTCTATAATCTATTCAATTGTTAATCGCCTGCTTACCAGGGTTTTTTTTTTATTTATTGTGGCTTTAGTTGGACGTTTGAAAAGCTCTACTTCCACCTGGGACAGCAGTACCGCCACTTTCAACAGCAAAATGAAGGAGAAGAGAACTCCAGCTCCATGTTGAGTATAGTTGCTGACAGAGATGAAGATGTGCTTCTGGCGGGCTTTTAGGCCCTTAGCCCAGGATATCTAGTGTAGTGACAGCACAAATTTACCCTCATCGGGACAATTTCTATGTTAGTCGTATGGTCACCTTCACTCCGGTGTGACAGCACGACCAGTTGGTTTGTCGGACGTCAGTTGTCACGTGACACGATGAGTCATGACCATTTACCATTCCTCTTCGTGCGTCATTACTGCCAGGAGGGGTACTCCTTTTCCTCTATCAAATGGAAACCTCCAAACATCAAAAAACCGTGCTGGCTTGCTGATAAGCGTTAGCCTCATCAACCTATTTATGATGCCAAAATGTGCTTTTTACAAAGAATGATGAAATGGCGACTTTAGACTCCAATTTTTGGGTTTTTCAGGGTACTTCAAATAAAGCTAATGAAGCTGGAAATGGAGGCAACAGGACTCAGATTTCAGTTGTCGCTTGGGTTTAGAATCCACAAACAGGAAGTGGGAGCTAATAGTGCTATTGTATTTCATGACAAGTCTGGTGTTGAGACGATTTATTTTTATAAAGCGCTATAAGGCTGCCTTTTTTTAAAAAAATGGATGGCGTGGATAACACTTTTAAGGTCTGACTGATAAACGTTAATGGGTATGGTTAAAGTTTGCTATCTCCTCCTTTTTTGCCAAACTTCTTCACCAGTTGGACGATGAAATAACTCAAATTTACGCTTGCCCACTTATGGTCGTGATTTGACAAGTATCCGAGACTGTTAAAGACACAAAGGAGAGTTCCATTTCTATGACACAGAAAAACTCCTCATTATTCAAATAAAACTGAGCTCTTCTGCTCTTCAATTTCGGCCGCTTTTTAGGAAATGAGGTCTCATACCTGAATCGTAGGATAATTGAATAAACCAGTTACCCATCAAACAGGCAGATCGGGAAATACTTCTTTCAAACACACATCAAATGGATAATTAAATGTTTTTTGACGAATTATTTAAAAATGCATAAACAAATCAGTTACTGGCTCTGGGTTTCACTTTTACCTTTAAGGATTAGCAAACAAACAATGTCTTTTTGAAGAGAATTCAATTAACCAACGAATCTCTCGCATGGGAAAGCGATAATTTGACCTGAGTGTCAAATTGACAGACGAAATTCCTGATCTATCATTAGTGCCTAAACTAACCTGAATGCACATTCTAGGACCAGCAGCTAATTCCACAGGAAGAATTGTAGTTCCACCGTAGATTAGAAAGCCCCAGGAGAAGTTCAAGCACAGCAACAGTAGGAGAAGCCACGGTCGGCGCCGAATAAGCAAAGTGTATAACTCTTTGACACCGACTTTTGAAATACGAAAGTCCTCTGCCTCATCAGCTTCGCGGATACGTCCCAGGAAGGAAAGGGCACTTGTAGAATTTTTCGGGATTCGTCGATTTGTAATGGCCACTTTATCCAGTACATTTGCAGCTTCTACTGTCTGCTTTTTGCAGTATAAATAGACAGGAGATTCGAGAGTAAAGAATGCTAAGGCGATAGCACAGAGAGCTAAAGGAAACGTGGTGAAAAAGACAAAGAATCGCCAGTTCAATCGTCCTTCTAAGCATCCCAACCCAATTGCAGCAGTAATTACACCAATAAGCGCCTCAAAATTGTTGGTTATTAGTTGTCCTGAGGCTTGAAATTTTGGTGGCATTGTCTCCGAAAGAAGTGAGCTCCCAGATGTCAATACGCCACCAATGAAAAGGCCAGAAAGGAAGCGTAGAGACGCCATCCATGCATAAGTCGGACTGATGGCACATAGCCAGGAGAGGTACATCAAAACCAAGCATGAGAATAGGCAGATTGAACGCCTTCCATAGACATCTGCAGCGTAACCCAAAGGGACTGCACCAATACAGCTGCCAAGGAACACAAGACTGGTGAGGAGAGCTACATAATCGGCTGATAGGCGCCAAAAGCAACGAAGACTGGGGCCCAGGATCGCTTGGATAATGGTTTCCATCGTGTCAGTGGAGTGAGCTACACCAAGAATGACTATCATTTGAACCTGGAACCACCCAAATCCCAGCTCATTGAGAATGGCCTCGATTATGGGAGGTTTACGATGCACCAATTCGTTCCCATTACTGCCCTCTTCGTCCAATCCAAAAATACTCCCTACAACAGGAGTTAGACGTTCCATTGAAGTGCTTGACATCATGGCATTATGATTGAAACCCGTTCTCCCCTGTGTGAATGAGAGAGCGAAAGGCAGGTATGTGCTTTGCCGAAACGCATGTGCTCTTGCATACGTAAAGGGCGTCAACCGATTGGATGGTGAGGCCCAATCACTCTTGGCGTGGGCGGGCGGGCGCAATTCAATAACTGCTGAACAAGTCTACGCGCGAGTTGAAACGACAAATGAGTAAACGGTGCATTGGGGAGGAGGTTGCTTTTCTCAAGAGTGGCGTGATGCTTTAGGGGATGCTCTTTTCAATTATTGCTTTGAATTAGTGCTGAGAAGGATAAGGTCATTACTTCATCGGGTTTTACATATTTAAGATTCACAAAAGAAACAGCCACAAAATCTTAGCATCCTGTATTTCCGGCAATAATAATAGTAAGCTAGGCAAAAAGTACTTACAACTAGTATTCTCTATGAGAAAACGATATCTTAGGGTCGCAGCATAAAATATTACTAAAGGAGTAGGTGACACGCTCCACATGATGCACAATCATCATATAGGGATCTTCCGTCTGGTGGTTGATTACAATTAACAGGAAAACTCATGGGATTGTAAAATCATGACTTTTGATTCATGCCCGGAGCATCCCCGTCCTCTTGCAAGCTAACATTAAATTAACCCACCTATAGCGCCCTTAGTCCTTCCTAAAGTGGTAATGACCGACACCAACATTTAGGAGGATTCACTATTAACGAAAAAAACGTCTGGATGACTGTGTGGTGATTTGGTAGTTTGTTTCACGAGGACTTCGATGTACCTAAGATGTACTTCCGCTCTCGACCATGTCCATTGGGCGACCGTGGAAAGCTCGGGGTGCTACAGCTGTTGACATGGCCGGAGGGTCGGAATGCAACCTACTGTGACTGATAGGCGCGCATAGTTGTGCAATATATCAAATGGCCAAACCATCACCTCTTCATTAAAAGGGGGCGAATATCAAAGTTGAATTAAATTGTGATATTTGTTCATATAAGAGGACAATAGAATAAATCAACTAAATGACCCACCTAGAATGAACTTTTATTCATATGTTAAATGTTGTGTAGTGAATTTGTCAAAGCAATCAAATTCAGGACCATACTGTAATAGGTTGGTTATTTGTTTAACTCTTGGTTTAGGTAGAGGAGCCACTTAGGCGCTCCACCATCGTTTCTTTCCGGATAGACCGATCTCCGGGTCATGCCAGTAGCTCAAATCCCTACGGTGTGGAGGATACGCACATATTTTAACCGTGTATTATTCCTCATTTAGTCTTCAGGGGAGTCTGGGGGACTACACATACAGGCTAGAAATAAAGGCATTATAACCCAAAATGATACGTAAATAGGAAAATATTGTCCTCCCCATTAAAATGAAACTCTGGAAAAGAAATAGTAAATCCGAATGACAAATATGCAATAATCAATTAGCGGCAGTTCAAAGTGACTCAAGGATAATACTGCTATATTTGTTATTTTTCTAAATGAATTACTAAAATAACTTTTGAAGTTAAGGTCTTTCAGCTCTTAGTAATTCTTCCAGTTAATCTCATTTTTCCATGAATAAATAAGACTTTTCGAAGACTAGCCGATACATAGTGTAGCGTCCCGAGACTTCCCTGAAGAAGAAAGAAGACACAATACTCGGGCAGAATATATATTCGGCGCAGAGAAGGTTTTTGGGCTATTGGCATGGCCCGAAGGCCAATCCACCCAGCGAGGTACAAAAAGGCCAATTCGAAGTACAGAAGTGGCGCCCTACTAATACCAAGGGATAAACCACCATCGTATTACAATAATACAACTTAGCAACTGTGTTAGAGACCTTCCTCAATCGATTTAAAAAAACCAAACCGGAAACGCATGCTTAGTAGTCAGCATAAGTTCTTGAGTAATAAGAATTCTATGTTGGCTAAGAAAGTGCACAGAGGAAGTTAAGTAAAATTTCAACGGTGAAAATACGTCATTTATTTAAATTCGATGAATTTGAACTTAGGTGTGAGAATTTGAAGACAATGTGGTACCTGATGCAAGTTGAGCAGGTTGGGCACAAAAAGTAGCATGAAGGAGAAAAATTTCCCAAATATGACAAATTGTCCCAAAATAAAAAATCTGTTCGATTAACAAATTTTGAGATAGGCATCTCCCTTAGTCTTTGCATCACATCTTAAAGTCTAATATGGTGAAATAAATTTGATGGCTTTTTTTGCGATTTAGAGGTGAGTATTCCTATTAAAACTAAGCAATGTTTTAAAAGTCCACAAGTCTTTTTAAATAGTACTGGCGCAATTACGGATTAGCAGGTTTTGCAAGTTAGCCTTTACGTACAGCACTGGTCTCGGTTTTTCATGTCTGTGCTACTGGATTATGAGAAAAATATTCTCCTTGACGTTAACGAAGACAGTTGCATGTTCGTTTGTGCAGAGGGACTTGATCTTGACACTATATTGCATACGATTATCAAGCTTCACAATGATCCTCACAACTTAGTGTTAATATCAAATTATTCCCTCCCGGAAGCTAAGTACATCGCGGCTAAATTTGTCCTAGAAAACGAAGCATACCTCCCTTTTATAATTACAGCTAATGTTAGCGCTCAGGAGCGCCTTCAAGCCTATCGCCGTGGTGGGGTTGTTTTTGTCAGTTCTCGAATACTTGTTGTTGACTTACTTCGAGGAACAATGCCCGTTGAACTTGTTACTGGGGTGCTTGTTTTGCGATGTCACATTCTTCACGAATCCAGTCAGGAGTCTTTTATGCTCCGGTTGTTAAGAGAAAGGAATCCACAGATCTTCATAAAAGCATTCACGGATAACGCCATTGCTCTGATGTCTGGTTATAATCGAGTTGAACACCTGATGAGTCAGTTTGGTGTTTCAAGGCTTCTTCTTTGGCCAAGGTTTAATTTAGATGTGGTCAATACACTATCGAAATGTCCTCTAAATGTCGAAGAAGTTCAGGTAGGTGTTTTTACATCTAGTTCCAAGTTTTGAACAAAATTCTCTAGGTATTCTTAACAGAGGAAAGCTCTACTTGCCAACGGTGTCTTCTGGAAATGATTAAAGCTACTCTTCGTGAGCTAGTTGATATCAACCCCATCCTAAATAACGATGAATTTACCCTTGAATCGGCTCTGACCAATTCATTCCATCAACTGGTTTGGATACTCTTAGTGTTGCACAGACCTCTTCCTCCTAGACTAGTTTATATATTGACCCCATTTGGCATCATTTGACACAAACTAGTCACCGCCTTTTGGCGGACGTTGCTGGCTTGAGACGTCTTCTTTTCCAACTCATCGATTTCGATGCAGTTACCTTTTTGGATGCTTTGGAGGACCTCCGTCAAGCCGAGCTGTCGTCTCTTCGAATGAGCAAGTCGGCGCAAATTTCATCTCTTCAAAGAGATGGAAACTGCGCTAACTGGCTCCTTATGAGTCAAGCCGAACAAATGCTCTCAGTGGCTCGTAGTCGAGTTTATAATAACTACGAAAAAAGTACGATCAGTTTAAGATCTGATTTGATTATTTTTCTCAGGAACCTATACAGTAGAAGTGCCACCCAAGCTAATTGCAATCACATCAATTCTAGAGGACGTGATTGTCAAATTGACGGACGATGGTCTACAGCAGAAATTCCCTGTTCTTATTCTTCTTAGGCATACACGAAGCGTTGAACTTCTAGACTACTATCTACGCCATGGTAGAGCGAAATTACAGGATTGGTTAGTACAGGGAAGGTCGGCTTACGAACATCCAGCGGAATCGTCTGAAACAGAATCGCCACCTTTAAAAAGGGTTCCACTAGAACCCTATAGAGAACCCACAGTATCCAAATATTTTTGTCGAGGTAGAAGTGGATCTAAGCAGATTATCGCCTGTACTGGGGCTCCATGTATACCTGACAAGTGTTCCAAGTTTACTGAATCCGATATTCCTTCAAAACCACAAGAAGAACCGAAGGCGGCAGAGATTGTGAACGTGGAAGACCCAGTCCTAGATTTGCCAGCCGGATGCTCTGCAGTCACTTTTACGACCTTGGAGGGAAGAGAACTTCAAGTAATTCTTCGTGTTCCACCACCAGGTTGCGGGGAGGAAGGAGCGACGGCGTCAATCGACAGTCGAAGTCTAGATGGACCGGCTGGACGGCTGGGGGCAGTATTGGCGCGTCTCCGACCATATTGTGTCATTTTTTTCGAACCTCGCGTATCATGGATTCGAGAAGTTGAGGTCTATGCTGCTAAGGAAGCCATACGTCGAACTCGTGAAGGTTTAAATCCACATTCTCTCAGTATCTATTTCATGGTGTATAAAGATTCTGTGGAGGAACAACGATATCTCACGCGACTTAGACGAGTAAGCCAATTTAATTTTCCGGTTTTTTTTGCCTCATGCACTTGTAACCTCGGAATTTGGCCTTGATAACTTATTTTAGTAGAATCGAGGGAAAACGAGTTCAAACGAATGTGTTCGTAATCTTTGTCACGTATACGTGACACCCAAATTTTCGAATCTTAGCCCTATGTAGCAAATACATGACGGATTTTTTGCCCATCCAATTATAACTGCTTTTACTATACCATGTATTTCTAGCAGATTAGTTGAGTTTAGGACAGTAAATTAGATGTATCTTGCTCTTCGTCTGTTAGGAGAACTTTTCCTAGTTCCTAAGTGACGATCAACTTGACCAAAATTAAGGGCTGTTTTTGTCATGTTAGAACAATAAAAAGTCTAGATTGCATTGATCATTTTTCCTCTGAGATCTTGACAAATGACATGTCACTCAAGTCTAGCTTAATGTAACTTAGGTATGAGAATATACTCACCGTTTCAGGAGAAGGAGGCCTTTGAAGGCCTAATCACTCTGCGCGCCTCCGCTGTCGTGAAGAAAGTGGAACCATCGATATCTGTTCCTGCTGTTGACATTGAATCTGGAAATTCTTCGGAACCCGCCCCAACACCAACCGTATTTGTAGACGTCCGTGAATTTCGAAGCGAGCTACCAGCTCTTCTGCATCGAAAGGGTTTGCGGGTGAGTAGTTTGAACCTAGACATTTCGTGCTTGATAGCACCGCCAACTGTTTTTAAGGGAACTAGCTACTTAAATGCTTAAAGTTAAAAGTCTATTTCAACTCATCAACACGGGGAAATAGGTCGGTTCTTCTGTGTTGTCCTTGGGGATGCCGAGTCTATTTCGGCTTTTTCTGATGGGTACTTTAAGTCTTTCCTTTAAACAAATTCTCTTTTTACCCAGATCTGTTTTTTCTTTATCACTGGTCGAAATTGGGTCACTTGGAAAAATCTGACATGGTTTCGACAGCCTCCTTTCGAACATTCACAACAGATGTCTTACTTCCGTCTTCCTATTATCTGACCATCGAAATCGGAATTGTTGTTTATCTAGAATAAAATTGTCACTTCGTCGTGGCACTGGGGCTATCTCCAGTGGCTTCATAAGGTACAACAGTCTGGAAGGGGATCTGTTACAGGTGCCCATAAAGACTGAGGGCGTAATAGCAAGGGTTATATTATCACATTTAGTGTACTCAAATGTACTTAAGGTGAATGTATTTATGCAGCTGTTTTAACCACGAAACTGCTTCTTTTAAGGTGAATCCCATAACTCTGACAGTCGGAGATTACATCCTGGCACCGCATATTTGCGTGGAACGGAAATCTGTCAGTGATTTGATTAGTTCGTTGAACTCAGGTCGTCTGTTTCAACAGTGCACTGTAATGTCCAGACACTATCTTAATCCGGTACTACTAATTGAATTCTCGATGCCTGCCAATGGTGCGTGATTATTTCCGTCATTTTTTTGGACAAATTTTGCTCATTTGATGCAAGTAGGCTGGGTTTAGCACTCTTTGCGGTAGCTACATCAGACGCCTGATGATATGGGCAGCTAAAATTAAAGTGAAAACTAAGGAAAGTTTGACTCTTCAGGCGTTACTTACAAGGCACCACGATTTCCAAACATCGCGCCTCCTGCTACGTCGGCGTCTTTTGCTCTATTCACGGGACGGAATGCTGTAGTGGTGGGAGACGCAAGAACGGATTTGGACCCTCGTCATCTGTTGCCGCGTCTAGTCCTCCTTCTCCTTCACTTTCCGCGTTTGCGAGTACTCTGGAGTGTTACGCCGTACTGTACGGCGGAATTGTTTGCAGAACTAAAAGTGGGACGCGCAGAACCCACTTTGGAGCAGCTGCCTCAAGTGAGCGGACATGGCATTTTCGATATACTTTTAACCTTAATGTACTGCCAAATTTGTGATTTTTATTGTGAATTACTTTATCTCCATGGTGCATAAAATTCATCTAAACTTCATTTCCCATTCACCGACCTTTGGAATAAAGGTGTTCTTCTCTATCTACTTCAAATGGATTGCATCCTAAACTAACCCTTATTTTCTAGAACGCTTGCCACTGATAGATATTAGGTGAATACAGTTGTCCACCTTTCGTGTTTTAAGGATAGCAATGGACTGTGCGAGGAGAATGCAGAGGCCGTGGAAATGCTGTTGAGACTACCTGGTATCTCCTGGCGTAACTACCAACGCGTGATGGCGCGTGTCGACACCATTGCCGATCTTGCTGGGTGCAGTCTCGAACGCCTCACTGAGATTCTCGAAAATAGGTTCGTTTGTAATATATTCTCTACTCATTTCATCTTCGTAAACATTCTTTTTATTACTGGATAACGCAAATTAATTAATCAGCATCCGTGCATCCGTAGCAATTGAAATGTGGGGATGCTTGTAAAGCACGTACCATTATTTATATGAATGCATAACAAAGTCAGCCTTTGCCATGCTCTGTACTTATTTCTTTTTGATTTCAACCCTTCTACGATTTCAACTTATCTGTTACAGTATTTTTTCCCCGTGCCCCTTTTCGCGTTTTTTGATAGCAGAACGTATCTGTCAAGACATATTTTGAATGTTCGGTTCAAATCGGTTCCACTTTCTTCACTTGGGAGAGTCATGGAGACTGATAAGCAAATGAATCTCACAACCCGTCGCTTTTGGGATTGGTGACCAACCAGTGGGAAGAAATGGCTTTTGGGCTGCAATCTTAAGTGGCCAAGTTTAACGTTGGTTACCCCCCTTTTGTCTATCCATTACTCATCACAACCTTCTAAGGCATAAGTTACCTCATTCTTTGAAGATTATACGTGTTTTGTGTATGTGATGGACTTTAGCCGATGTGTTTCACAACAGATTTCTTACTGAGGGTCGAGCAATTTCAACCCAGATCAATTTGACACAATAAAACTGGCATGTTGGGCCGCCTAGAGTTAGTCAATCAGTTGGGAAAAAGTCCAAGGCCTCATCTAGAAAAACTTATCTAGGAGAAGATTAACACTTGAAATTTTGCTTCTAGATCCAAAAAATGTTATTGAGGTGCTATTCCCATTATTGTGTCTCCTTATGAGAAGGTAATAGATTTTGGTTATTTCGAGAAATAAAGTGTCTGGAGAACCTTTTCGTAGTTTTTTGGTACTTTTTCGTATTAATTCCATGTAGAGATTTATTTTGAAAGTCGGAATTTCTACATGAATACACATCCCTCCGTTTGACTAATCTTAAATAACTAGACATTATATTATTCCTGCATTTAAGTGAGTGCGCCCAGAAGCTGTACAACTTTCTGCACTCCGAGTGGGCACCACCACCACAATCTTCTGCTGGCACAATGATGGAATTGGTGGTCGCCACTGCAGAGGGCAAACGGCCTCGCTTTGACCTTGCTGCTCGTGTCAAGACCCGTACCAAACGGAAGTAACTGATTCGACTAGTTGTTGTACACAAGTTCCTCTTTTGGGTACCTTAACAGAGAATCACAACTTTTTGCATTATTTTTTACCACCTAAAGTGTAAGGATAAAATTTTAGCTGAATAAACGCGAAGTATCGGTTTGTATTATTGGCCCCATAGGTGCATGTAGTCTCAGGGGAAAGTTAGCCACAACAGGTTCGATGTCTATTTTACTGTGGCTTTAATGGCGTCACTCGATTTCATGATGGATAGAATTGTAAATCAAAGTCTAAAGAAGATGACTATTTTCAAACCATGAGTATACTGCTTCCACTTTATCCATTTAAACAACCAACCAGTTTGTAGCGCGATTTAGTGCTGGGAGGCTAAGTAAATAGGTTGAGAGCCCAGGGCACATATTTGCATACGCCATGTAGTTAAACAGTACAAAGTGTGATAAACCACTGGAAGAATATAGGAGCAATTGGGAGAGCGAGGATGAGGCGATGTCTTCCCAGTCGCCCTTGGATGCAAAATTCCCCATGAATAGGCTTCACAAGGTGGAGTCTTCCACTAACGTCCAAAAATGGGCACCTGCTTTCAACTTACTGGCTGGGCCTAACTGTTCACTTCCACATTCTTCTTCCACACCCTCGGGCTGCATCCCATCAGACAGGCTGATCACAGCTGCAATTATTGAGCCCACAGTGAGCAATCCACTGTCAACG